GATTTTACAAAGGAAATTGCAGCTACTGTTTACAAAGGTCAGTACTGTAAAAGATAGGGAAAGCTTGAATCTGGAACAGACAAAAATTGCTATGAAGAACATTTTTGGGACAACTGACAAATTAAAATAAGTTCTACGTATTAGATTAGATAAAAGCATTGTGTCAACATTGAATTTCCCAATTTTGATTACTGTAGTTTGATAATTTAAGTGGATGTCTCTTTTGTTGGGAAATGCACAGATGTATTTAGAAGCCAAGGGAGCACTGTGTCTGAGACTTAATGCTCAAGAAATCCAGCAAAATAAAGTTGCATGTACAAAGAGAAAGAGGAGGACAAATGAGAAAGAGAGTAAGAAAGAATCATAAAACAATTGTGTCAACATGTCGACAGTTTAGGTCAAGCACATGCAGTTTTTTATTCTGTGCTTAAAACATTTTTGCAAGTATAAAATTATTTCAAAATAAAAATTGGAAATCAAGAAGTGGTTTGCTGAATGAATTGGGCCTAGAGGACATTTTTTAGTGTGGGAAATTTTTGTGCTGCCTTTATGAATTTTCTTCTCAGAAGGAGAAGAGGCACCCCTGAATATAATTAGAAAAGGACTGCACTCAAAGGATCACTCCTTCCAGCAGTGAAATGAGAAAAATCAAATAGTTTCATATGTTATAATAATTTTAGGTAAGAAAGGGAACAACAAGTATTTCACTAGCTGTAAGAAAGAACTATTTGTCCTTTTAAATATGGGTAATGTATAGATTTGTTGATAAATGTTGATAGACACTTAAAAAAAACAGAGCATATAGAAAAACAAATTAGGCACTAAGGCAAAGTCTGTGTTTGGCCCAAGGGTGCAGGGAATTGAGAGGGAGCCTATAATTTGGAATAAACTTATTTAGGAGGCAGCAGTATGATTTACTTTTACTTTAGGTGTAAGTAAATATGCACAAGTGAAATAAGGCATAAGAAGGAGTGAAATGTGGAAATGGTGATTGGCATAATTATTTAAGTTTATAATCATGGGGAGGGTGACTACTATTAGAAGAGTGACAAGGTCACAATGACCTTTAAAAGTTAAGGACAGGACTGGGGATGTAATGCTGTGGTACGGAACGGCACTTGCTTAGCAGGGGTAAGGCTATGAGTAGCATCCCAGGACTGCAAAACAAACAAGCAAGCAAACGAGGAAGCAAGCAGAGGAGGGATGGTGAAAAAATGATTTGAAATAGATAAGAGCACAAAGGAGAAATGTTAAAAACATCCTACTTCATGCTACTTTAACAATTATACTAAGTCTGGGTGCTGGGAAGCCGCACCTGTCATGTCAAAAAGAGAGGAATCCTACCTGAATCCTAGTGTGGTCAGTTGCTAACTGGCTTGTTTTAGAAAACAGCTTAGAAATATTGACATTATGGAATGATAAGCATGTAAAGCGCATATAGTGGGGTTTTTTTTTAGGTTGGCTGCAAGGAAATTTTCGTTTCCTTAAAGCCAAAAACAAACAACTAACAAAGAGAAAGCAAATGAATCATTTTCTTTTGAGCCTAATTTGTGAGCCAGCTGCAAAAACTGTGTAAGAGATGAGATACACTGTATTTTAAAAAGTGAGGAAATTAGTACATAAGACATGAAAGCACATTGTTTGTAAGAGTGCCATAGTATCAGCAATTATAAGAGGTGGTCATAGAGGAAAGGAAGAATGAAAATAAACTTCATTAAAAGCTGGATAATGCATAGATCAGAACGAACAAGAGCAGTAAACTCTCACAATGCACCAATGATAGCATGTACCTGTGGTTTCTTGGCATTTAGAAAATAATAAAATTAAAAGTGGCTTACATACAAAGGTAATATAAGAAGAGTAAAAAGCACCATTGTTATAAAAATGAACCTTTCTGAGAGTTTGGAAAAATATAAATTCCAAAAATGATATGTGTGAAATGATCTGTAATTTTAACCCTTATGAGCACGGTCTGAAAGTAGTACCGAATTAAGGAAGAAATTGTGTTGACGAAAGGAGCTATAATTGTAGGGAGTGTACAGGCGGGGTGCTTTGTAGAGTTCTGCCATGGAATAGCAATGAAACATTAGAGGTAGGTGGAAAAAGCATCAGAGGAGGGGATAATTTACAGTCACTTATAATAGTTATTGCTCTCTAAGATACGAGAAGGAGAGCAACCCAACCCCGTGTTCTGTGGCACACTTGGTTCGTGTCTTAGTGACTTTTTCATTGCTGAATGCCATACCTGACACCCACAACATAAGAGAAGGAAAGGTTTATTTTGGTTTGCTTGTCAGCCCATGGTCAGCTGGCTCCAAAGAAGAAACGGCATGGCAGAGAGGCATGGCGGAGGAAAAGCTGCTTATGTCATGCCAGTGGGGAAGCAGAGTCAAGGGAGGAGCTGGGAAGACAGATATAACCTTCTGGGCCATCCCCACAGTGACCCACCTCTTCCGACCAGACCCACTTCCTACCAACAATCAGCTACGATGGCCCTGTAACCTGATCAGCTTACAAAGGTCCCACCAATAATTGCATGAGGCTTTAGGAGAGCATCTAGATACAAACCACGAGAGTTGGCTGATGGAGTGAGTAGAAGCAGTATCCTAGTTGGCACAGCTTTGTTAGCTGCTCAGGTACCTCTGTTCCTTCCATAGCTCCAAGTCTTCTGTACTACTGTTGGCAGAACTCAGACATGGAGAGCTCAGTGGTCCACTGGTCCTCAGAACATCTTGTGTTCAAATAATCTTGATAAATACTTGGAAAATATGCAGCAAATATAAGAGATGGTATTTCAGTAGAATGAATGACCACAACTGTCCTTCAACTGGTGTTTTCATTGAAATCATCAGGTCTGGTGATGATTTCCTAGTTACAGGTTTTATTAAAAGGTTTGACTATATATAACAACTGACTATATATAACGTTTTTGATTGTTATAACGGACTATGTTTTAAACACAGAACTACCATTCTGCCCAGTGGAAGGCGTTGGGGTTCTCACAAACAATATGGCAAAAAAAGATGTGGAGTTTTATTTTGTTAAGTAGTATGCCTGCATATAATGTACACAAAGATCCAGAATACAAGGCTGATGTAATGGCAATCAAATTCCCGTAGAATTTACTTGATTTTAACATCTTCCTTTTAGATTGGAATATGGTATCTTAAAGAAAATCAGACAAATTACTCATTTTGGGAACAAAGACTTTTGAAAGCTGTCAACTCACTGACAGTTATGACGAACATTTATTTCAGGCTCATAAAATGTATTAATCAAACTTGTTCACAGCATGGTGGTCCAAAGAATGTTATTTTATTTTTGAGAAAGATTTCAAATAAGTGAGGAGCACAGCTAACATATCCTACGTAAGTACAAAGCAGGGATGTTTTTCCCTTTCAATATAAGTAAATATCTTTCTCAGATTTACAGAATATACTTATAGTGTACTGCAGGATTCTGTTCATTATAAGACTCTTTGCAAAGGACCTATGCACCATTCATTGAACCTTGAACAATACTTGAAAATATGGGTTGCATTTGCAAACTTCAGTGTATGACATGGAAGGCTGGCAAGCTGCCTCGCTTCTACTTAAAGGATTGTCATTCTGGGAAAAATAAATTTCTCTAACTAGACAAAAGTCAATGTTTTCATGTTTTACTGCAATCAAACTGATAGAGCTGACAATTTAATGTCTCAACACTTAAAATATCTGTGGATAATCAGTTACCGCAATCAATCATAAACACAAACGCTTCTATTTTCAAAGCTTGTATGTCTGTGACTAAGATATAAAACAGTTTGGCGAGACCCTACCCCTACTGTTCCTCACCCTCTACCCCTCGCCATTATCTCAATATTCCTGATTTGTCTTCAGCTTTGTAGACATTTATACACATTGTGCATGTGGAAATAGCTTTTAATGACTCAAGTATGATCAAGTTTAGAAAGTTTTCTTTCACTGTCCTGTTTTTTTTTTGTTCTGATTTTTATGGGTCATTTATAGCTTGTATTCCTGTCAGCAAAACATAGAAGGGTGCTGCCATTCCAACTGGAGACATCATGACAAGTGAAAAAATGCTGAGGGTGTTTTCAAAGTGGGTGCTGAAACTTACATGTCCCTTCTTCGACTTCAGGGTTGCTGGTAGTTGCCCCAAACAGACAGGTATTTAGGATCGATGGTATAGAGCTGGCTCCTTACACATTTCCTGGCAGGTGCAGTAAATGGCTCACTTCTGGAAACCCATCATAGTGGTGATGATTGTGATGGGGCAGATGATGATGACAAAGCAAGGGAGATGGTGACAGCAACACAAAGAGGCTCGAAGGAATTGGATTGCAGGTAGCTCCAGATTTCGCAGAGGTTTTGGGTTCAGTTCACTAAGCTTTGGTATTGATAATGACATGAAACTTGAGACAGTTTTAGAAATCGGTTTCGATTAAGATATGCCACAGTATTGCTGTACTGTGCAAACAAGTTGACTGCTACACACCGTTCTTTCTTCATGATACAATTTTATGAAAGTGGTTTTACATTCCTAACAAAGAATTACTGTGAGCAATCCATAAGGCCAAGCCCTTGTTTGGAATCTTCTATGATTTTTTTAATGCATGATTTGTGTATATATTGACATCCACATTCACCACCACTGCCTCCTTTTTTGTTTCTTTGATTATTTGGAGCTTTGCAATCACACTAAGCAGTTGTAGGACCCTTGGGGCAGCATCTTTTAGTTCCCCATCAGGACACGTTGCAAAACAATCAATCTTACTCTCACACTCACTTGGCGGAAGTGCCACTGCACGAAGAGTGCAATGCTTTGCTCTTGCCATGAAGCCTGGGTGACAAAAGTTTTTACAAGAATCTGACTGTATTTGGGGTTATGAATATGCAATGACTCTCATTAGTATTGAAGCGCCAGAGCTGGGGCTGACATTGCCCGCCACTTTGAGTTGCTGCGGGATCAGCTAATGAATTGTCTTGCTCCCTTACTCACAGGGTCTGCTGTTGTAGCTCCTAAGTTCCAAGGGAAGTTGCCCACTGGGAGAAGACCATTGACTGTAGAAATTAATTATCAAGCACTACTCTTGATTTTGTGAAACAATGTTTAGGCAGCATTTAGATTGTCAAAACAGAAGAGAACTGACCTGCATGAGATAATATCCTAAATAGTAAAATGTAGAGACACGAGGATGTATCCATGTACTTGCATGCACCACTGTGTGTACAGATACTGTCATCCTGGATCATTGTGTGGTATGTAGATAGAATCAAGTCATAGAAATATGGCATTCTCTTGGTATGCCTATTGTCCTTTCAAATGGAACAAAGAGAGATGATAGAATATATTTCAAAATGAATAGGGTGGAAACACAAAACAACTCCATCAATATTTTACTGTATTCTTTCTTATTCATTCCTGGGTCTGTGCCAAACATTTTGCGGCTCATGCACCTACCATCTTTCATGAATATGTTACTGATAAGGATACATTTCTAACCTCTGATAAAGATATCTGAGCTGATTTGCAGTGTATAAGAAGGGGTAAAAGTGCTCAGAAAACATTTAGAATGGTCCTTTTTCAGGGGGGTAAATGAAATGTCTTTCCCCACATCCCTTCCTCCCTGGACATTTCCTTTCAGCTAGAACTCTTATGTCTTGCTGCAGATTGCAAAGGGTGGCTAGAGTTGAAATTGATGAAGTATGCTAAAAGGTAAGGGGTGTGTTGTAAGTTGTGTAAATATGGCAGCAAACGAAGTGGAAGTCCTTATATTAAGGTGTTTGCTTCCACAGCCATTTATTTAATTGGCAATGACAAGTTATTTCTTGGAAAGAGGAAGATATGTGTTATTTCTTTAGAGCTTCAGAGGGTGGTGCTTTATAACTGCCCTATCAGTTCGGCCCATCACCAGAGAGAGGAAAAAAGCAAAGCCCAAGAAGACATACATGTAAAAGGACCAAGAATGAGTACAGCTTGAAATAAATGCAGCTCTGATAAAAGTGGCTCAAGTGCCATATGTCAAACACTGCTGGCCTTAGAGGCTACACATGATTAAGAACGAATCAGTGATAAAATTGCAAGAAAGATGAGACCACTTGGGTGCTTGCAAAGACCACCTGTCATTCTGCTGGCTCACCAATATTGTTTGTTCGTGTAATCTTGGCTTCCTAGTTAATGGCCATAATACACCTTCTATCTTGAGACCAAAGCCACGAAAATAATTATTTTTTTGAAATCAGACACATCTAACAGGCCCAATCAGATATGAGCACAAAATAAGTTACTGGTTTACTCAGTTTAGTTCCTAAATTTACATTCCTGATCCAATTCACTGTCAGTATAGGGTTTTAAAATTTCACTGGTTTAATGTAATTATATAATCAGGAATAAAGTCCCTCTACAGTTACTCCCCCAAATTTTTTGACTTCCAAATGCTCTGATATCCTAGGCATCCAAACATTTTTCTGTTGTAAGACAAATGTCTACCCCAGGGTGTCAAAAATGTATTAACTTTTACAGATCACACTTAAATTTTAAAATATAAAAATGGAGTAGACCAGCTGAAACAATGATATCTAAGCATAAACTATTTAAAGTGAATGCAAATATTAACAAATATCTGCTACTATGAATACAAGAATCACATTATATGTGACAATATTTCAGATTTAGTTACAACTGTGTTGGTTTTGATTTGGCTCTGTAATTAGCATCTATATTCTAGATTTTTTTGACTGCTGTATTATTTATGGAAGGTTTGTCCAAATATAATTTTGTACTTGTTGCTTTTATCAAAAATTGGTATCTAGTGAAATAAAATGCAAAGAACTTGTACTTCTCACATTTTTCTGAGTGTTTACTAATAACTGTTTGCTGTCCACCCTTTTCTATACACAGCCACAATAGGATTGTAACAGTGGGTAAAACAATATGTTACATTGCTGCTAATCATATGCTAAGTTGTTTGACCATATACGGAAATAGAATTTGCCAACTTGCAACTTGGAAGACAACAGTTGATTCCTTTTTTCATATTTTATAACACACATACTCATAATTAGTATTTTGACACAGTTTTATGATGTGAACCCAGACTTGGAGTGCCCCACAGCAGAACAAGTGCTAAAAATCAGAGATACATTTTTTCTCTTTTGATTACACAGTTATGATCGCACAATAAGAAGGGGGAAAAATGAAGAGGAGCTCCACCATTGATATACTTACCTAAAATTCTGCCAGTAGAGGCTATTTTGATTAACTTGAACATATATGTAAATTTAGTCCATTCTGATTTAGTATTGTATTCACTTTGGTTTATATGTGGATGACGGGCCACCATAATCTTTAGGGATTTTAGGGTCTCTAGAGGTCTTAGAGCTTGAATGAACCAAAGAATTTGCCATCCCCAAGTGCTATCTATATACCCTTCCTTGTCATCTGTAAGTTAACATTTATTGAATGCAACCTGGCTGTTGGATGTGGGGAGAGATGGATTAGAAAGATAGAGAAAACAGAATCTTGGACACTGAGGTTATTTATAGGATGGCTGGGGCGAAGATCACAGGGAAAATGATGGAGATAAATTTTTAGCAATACATACGAACAAATATAGATTGATTTAGTGCGCATGGAGTGCACAAGTATTTCAGGGTTGCCACTTTGAAAACAGCCCCAGGAAGGATAACATAGAGACTTATTTTTTAAGAAAAAAAATAGTACTTCATCTTTCAGTATTCTAGGAATCAGTCATACAGAATGCTAGGAGTGGGTCACGTTCTTGCATTAAAAAATACTTAGCTAGGCCCGGTGGTATGTAATCTCAGCATTCTGGGAGGCTGAGGCAGGAGGTTCACAAGTTCCACCCCAGCCTGGGCAACTTAGTAAGACTGCTTCAAACTAAAAAAGGTAGGGTGGGATCTGGGGACTTAGCTGGGTTCAATCCCCAGTACCGCCAAAGGGGAGAGGGGAAGAATACAATCCAATTTGAACTAACACCAAGGTTATACTTAACAGCAAAGCCCAAGATGTCATATATTAACATCACCAAAAGTACAAGAATGATTACTTTCAAAACTGCTGTTTAAGTTGTCTGGAATTTTAGGCAAATCTCCATGAGAAGTAGGAAGTCTAGACTCATTTTTGTTTTTGAGTATCTGCAGCTTCTCAGCCCTGCCCCGCAAGAGGCCTCTGTTTCCACTGCCCAACTTCTGGCTCGGATTTTGGAAGTTCAAATATTTTATGCATACTTGGCATTTTTTTGAGTAAGACTTCAGTGTGTCTAAAACTCACTTTATCTCAATGGTAACATTTCCTTCTGAAGTGATGTAATTTGAGGTTCCGAATCATGTGTTTATAATGTCCTTTTCAATTTTCTCACTTAAAAAAAAATATCTTTAAGTAGGGAGAAAATGCCTTGTTACCAGCAATCACCCCTTTTAAATGTGAGCAGGACAAGAGTGAGGGAACATGGATTAAAAAGATGAGAGTAATGATTTAAGCAACCTCCTTTCTTTTTTGACTCCCGGGCAGTCTTGGCTAAAAATACTATGTATAAATGTTGATTCTAGATCGATTGCTATCCAGCAAGATCACACACGGAACCCCAAGTGCTGTGTCACTGAGAACAGTCACCGGGGTGGGGGAGTATCTCTCCTTGGTTGTGTTCCCTGAACACTGATCTAGCTGTTCAGTGCCTACCCACAGACCTGGCTCTTGGTAAAAACAAAGTTGTTTAACTACTGTCATTTCCTTTCCTTCCCTCTTTTCCTCTTATTCCTCTTTTGACTTTCTCAGGTGGTAATAAAAATGCTTCTAGGGGCATTTGCCTTTTTTTTTTTCCTTGTTCACAAAAGACTTTATTATCTAGTGATGCATACTGAGAACATACAGAAATCTGCATGGCCCACTTCACATTCAGTAGAGCAATCTTCACTTTACAATAAGTGAGTGTCAACTGTTTTATGCAATAGACAACACTTTAAGGTCACATTCTTAAAGAAAAGCTTGCCTTTTTAACCTTTTTTTTTTTTTTTGAGACAGGACCTCACTATGCAGTGCAGGGTGGCCTTGAACTCACTATGTAGCCCAGGCTGGTTTCGAACTCATGGCGATCCTCCCGCCTCAGCCTCCTGAGTACTGGGCCTACAGGTGTGTGCCACCATGCCCCAGCCTTTTGCTTTTAAAAAAAGAGATCCAGATTTGATGTGAGTTGTCACATATGTGGCAGCACGGTGGGAGGTGTGTCACCTATGTTATTACTACACAGATTAGTCTGAGTAGGCTGCAAAGAGCAGGTGAGAAATGCATTGACTGAATTATCAGGATGTCACAGGCATCAAGGTTTGAAGTCCTAGGGACTCAGAAGCCCATTCTCTTTGCATTACATGAAAACATTTTAAGGTCTTGAATAACCCATGCTGGAAGTTCAGGCTTTGTGCCAGTCCCACAGGGAAAATGCTTTTGGCTAGAAGTATCACCCTGCCTTTACCTTTCAAGTTAGATGAGATGGATCTAATTAGTTCTGCTAACGCACAAGGCGGATTTTGTGTAGTTGCACCTTAAGTCTCTTAAATATAGGTTTATTTCAGTGAGACTATAATCTTTGTTCTGAACTTATATCTATTTAGGGAGAAGGATATTATAAGACATAATAAATAATTATAATGCAGTTTGCCAAATGATGTAATAGAGGCATATAAAGGAATCTTGGAAACATATGAGGAAATAATTAATTTTGCCTTGCGGGGGGGATGTAAGGAAATGCTATATTGGATCAGAACCTTGAAGGTCAAGAAATTATAATTTTCCAGGACAGGAGGAGTTGAGAACTCATTTCAGGTGACAGAAACGTCATGAGCATATGTATAATTATGCCTGGAATGCGTGGGGAACGGCAAGAATGGTAGATTGTAAAACAGTCACAGAATCTTTCCTTTCTTGCATCTAACTCCAGGCAAAGCGCCGTCACGGAGCTGGGCTGGTCATGTGACATGCATGGGCCAATGGACGTTAGCAAGCAGGAAGGAAGCAGAGACTTGGGATTTCTGTGCTGGGAACCATGGGGCCATAATGTGAATGAGCCTGGAGAATGAACAGGAGACCCTAGGTCCTGGCTGGTGCTCTTGGAAACACTAACCATATAAGGAGATCGTCTTAGGCCACGTAGGTACCAGCTGATCCACCATCCGACCGCAAACGAATCAGGCGGCAGCCCAGACAGACTGACCCAGTTGATTCACAGAATTATGAGCTACATGAAAAGTCATTTTAGCTGGCAGGTTTAGGGTGTTTTGTTATGCACCAAAGCTTATGTACAGAGGATATTTATAAGTACTGTACAGGGAATGTGAAGAGGGGGACTGAAGATAAAGAGGATGTGGAGCATTTCTAGGACCATGCTAAGGAGTTCAGACCTATTTTCTTTTCTTTTCTTTTTTTTTTTTTTTTGGTACCGGGGATCAAACTAGGGTCCTTGTGCTTGCGCAGCAGGCGGCGAAACCACTGAGCTAAATCCCCAGCCCCAGACCTATTTTCTAATATAAAGTTTCCTGAGCTTCATTAATTTATGCACCACTTTAACAAATGTCTCTAAGCTACCTGGAAGATTTTTTTTAACTGTCCAATTTTAAACCAAAATTTACTTTAAAGCAAACTTAACATTAATTTGACATATCAGTTTGATATGAGAGTTCCATTTTTCTAAACCTATTAAATGTATAAACATTTAAAACTTTGGCCTGCTGCCTATCAGAAGTCATCTTTTATTTTTTATTTATTTTATTTTATTTTATTTTATTTTTTTGGTACTGGGGATCGAACTTGGGACCTTGCGCTTGCAAGGCAGGCACCGGAACCACTGAGCTAAATCCCTGGCCCAGAAGTCATCTTTTATATTGTGGGATTAAATTATTTTTCAGGTTATTAGCATAAAGATGGTAGGTGGTTGAAGTCATGGGAGTAGATGATGTCATCCACAAAAAGTTTAGTGTAGAAATCTTCAGTGTTTTTATTCCCAAACTCCTAAAAAATACAACATAATGCAGCTAGAAATAGTGAGTGGTTCATATATGTAATAATTCCCTAATGGGGGCAGAGGGTATCTTTAGATGGAAAAGATGTCCCCCAGGTTATTTTGATGCTACTGCCTCTCACCTTCTGTTTATTTAGCGTGAAACAAGAACAGGGCTGAGGAAGAAGAATTGGTTAAAAGAGACAAAATTGCCTAGAGGTGGCCCTGTCTGAGTGAAAAGGAACTTTTACGGAAGATGAAGTGCTGAGGCTCATGCCCAGTCCCAAAGAGAAATCCAGTGGTTGGGTTGTTCTTTATCAAGGCTGGCTCTTCCAAGTGAAGTACTTGACGTCCAATAGGAACACAAGGAAAGGCCTGGCTAGAATGATCTACGTAGAACTGTCTTATGTTTGAAACACTTCCTAAACCTTCAATAGTCAAGCCCAACAGGGTTTGCAATTGTACTGCTCTGGGCTTGGGTTTTGATGCTTTTCTTTCTCTGTCTGTGGTCCATGTTTTAGAGCAGTGCCCAGTTGGGCACCATGATCCTGATCTCAGTGTAAAGCGATGTGTGAGCCCTTCTCAGGGACAGTGCTAAGGGTGAGGGTGCTGACTGATGCTTTCTTTCTAAAGCCTCGCCACATGTGGGCCTTCTGCCCTGGTACCCATGGGTCCCAGAAGCAAGTTACGCGCCTTATGTTGCTATGGGTGAAAGGAAACTTCTCTAGTGGCAGAACTGAGTGCCTGCCAGCCTATCTGGTCCTCAGGTAATGTTTACACTCCACTTACTTCTTTGCTTATTAATACTATTTTTAAAATGAATGCATTTTTACCTGGCTCAGACATGATTTGGCGCCTCTGGAGCCTGTCAGAGAAACCTCTGCAGCATGGGTTCATTCCTTTGACATCTGGCATTCATGACTCCTGCGTGAGTGGCTCCCCCTGAAATGCACCTTGAAAGCATTCCTGCTGTGCCCCTTCTGTCCAGGCATCAGCGCAGCATTGGCAGTGAACAAGTCAAGACCCAGCTCTCCCAGAAGGAATCAAGAAATGCCTCACTCAGCTCAACCTGGTTTATTTATTTATCTATTTCCAGAACTGGGAATTGAACCCAGGGCCTTCCCACTGGGCTATACCCCCAGCTCTTCTCTTATTTTTATCTTGACACAGGGTCTCACTAAGTTACTTAGTCTGGGCTCAAACTTGCCATTCTCCTGCCTCAGCCTCTCAGAGTGCTGGGAATACAGGTATGCAGCCATCCCGCCTGGCTTTGAACCTGGATGAGAAAATGTGATTGCTTGTTGGGCTGGAAGCTGTTTTCTTGTGCAGTTGGCACCTTAATCTCTTTCTCCTATACTCTTTTTTTTTTTGGTACCAGGGATTGAACTCGGGTCCTTGCGCTTGCACAGCAGGCAGTGAAACCACTGAGCTAAATCCCCGGCCCACTTTCTTCTATACTCTTGATGCTTTTTGCAGCCTCCTAAGTCAGCTAGCTGATGCTCCAGCAACTTTGACATGTGTGAGAGAGGTGTCTTTCATTGCAGTTGCTCAGTGCAGTGGGATTGACGTAGTTATTTACACTTGAAAAGGTGGCATCTTATTAACTGAGGTAGGGGACATGTTTTCAAATAACCGAAGCAGTCTAAAGCCAGACCTATAAATAGTTAAATGTACTCATTTTGACTTCCTGTAACATGAAGATATTAAAATGATGAAAGAAAATGGGTAAGACATCAAAATATAAAAGGAAAAGGGAAGGCTTTTCACTTTCCCTTTGCTCCAGTCTTTCTAATTCCATTTTCTGCTAGGACCTAATGAACGCATTTTAAGTAAAACCCGACCGAGTGCTCTCTTTGCTCTCTGTCTTCCTGCTCCTGCAAACATCACTCCAGCCACTTTTTCAGATCCACTTCAAGGAGACATGGGCGTGAAAACTGTCCCCCATGGCTGTGTGTGAACTGGCTGCTGGGCTGCCACGCACACTGGGTGCAGTTGCTGGAGTGGGGACTGCGGGTAGGTGAGCAGCCAGCCAGCGCTTGGGGAAAGGCTGTAGGTGAGCCAGCCACTAATGGGAAAACTGGGGCCAGCCCTCGTCTTGAGGGGAAATCGGAAAGGCCCTTCTGCATGCCAGGGGATTTGAATATTTGGCAAACAGCTGGCTGGGCTCTGGGAGGGCGCCTCTAGATTCGCCTCGTCAGATGTTCAGAGATAAAACGAGGCAGCCTGCACGCCAGCTCGGAGCTCATAGCCTTGCAGGCAGTTTTGAATTTAGATGTGAATTGTGATATCAATGTCATGGTGGCACATGCTTTGAGAAAGTACTTACAGAGAATAATTGAAAGATTCAGTGTGAAGCTTCTGAAAGCCATAATTTAAAGTTCCAGCAGCCTCCATATTACTCTCCCCATTAAAATTTAAAGTGACAGAAGCCCAATTATCTATGGTTATTTTCTTAAATAAAATCATATTTCTACTCCCAGTGAAAGATTCATCTCTGGCCACTAATCTGTCAGGAGAACCAATCTCGTGGCGACCAGGTTGGTGGCAGAGATGGTTTGCTTTATCTGGGGACAATGGAGTGGCACTGGGGGAAAGCAAAGCTGGAAGGTCTCCATGAGCAGCCAGCAGCGACTCGAGGGAGGCTGATTTGCATGATAATCACCATTATGGATCCTCGCTGGTGCCAGCCTCCACACTTAGCCGAATGCGGCACATCTCTAATAGCAGTGGAGAAGCCAGAGTCGGGCTGCGGCACAGGTTTTACAAAGCCTGCTAGTTAAGAGGAGCAGCCGGCGAAGGGAGACTTGGTGTAATGCTGGGGATTGTTGAAAGACAGGTGGCTTCTCCCTCTTCTTTTATCACAAAGGAATTTGTTTACCAGGAGGAGCCACTTCACGCTGGGCCTCAGTGGCCATCGAAACTCTGGCATGAAAATAGATTGGCGAAAACTTTCCACAGAAACATTTCCAGGGTAGAAGCACAGAGGACAACCAAGCTTCAGCCACTGTTATTTATGAAAAACTTTATT